TGGGCAACAAGCGAGAGAATGTTACAACAAACGAACGCTTGCCTTATCTATACGAGTGTTGGGCAAACATGTAACTGTAATCATTCTGTAACAGTCGAACATTATATCGCCATCAAAGGAAACTTGCAAGTATTTCGTATAACATTACTGGACGTGAATAAACATTTCAGTAGCGTACATACATAAATATCAGCCACGAAAAATATTATTTTTCATTCTAAAATGGAAAATAAAACAGCTTAAGAGTTTCATCTGACAAGGGCAGTTTTGAAAAGATACTATAGTGACATATAACTTATGTAAATGGGTCTGTTTTTATCTCCCGAACAAAATTCCCATTCTAGAGCTGATGCTGTAGAACTACATATGCTTGCAGTGGTATAGATTTTATCATCAATGTACGATAACATACTAATACACCACAACTATAACTTAAGTGCCTCGAAGGTTTTTCCACCTAAATGCTAAATGTTGTTAGAAAACTCAAACTCTATTTCATAATAAAAGTGTGTAAAAATTAACGCGTAAATGGTTTATCTACAATTTTCTTAAATTATAATTTGAGAAATTTTTATTTTCTTCAGAGTGATTTGAATAGTTTATAACTATATTAACTTGTATCGAAATCTCATAAAAAAACAAAACACGTGTAAAATAATTTTTATTACGGAACCTGAAATCATATAATACCAATATTACTTAATGTTTCTCCAAAGTATGAAAGAGTTTGTTGTTAAGCGCAAAGCTACATAATGGGCTATCTGTGCTGCGCTAACACGGGTATCGAAACCCGGTTTTTAGCGTTATAAGTTATCAGACTTTCCACTGAGGGATCATATGAAAGAGGAAAAAATATTATTGAAAATATTTCTCTGTCAAATTTCATGTAAAAACCAAATTGAAGGCGTATTGTGCCCCATCTTACGGTAAGAAAGCTTGGGGTTCGACATATGATTTCGTTATTGTGCATTGTTAATTTTATTCTTAACTAAGTTTTCTATGTTGGTCAAAACAATCCTACAGTTACAAAAAAACTCGTAAGCAATTGAATCTTGAATACAGAAAGTGTAAACAGTCCCAACAAAGCAAAACGGCGTGCCTTGGAAACAAGTTCTACTACTGAAATTTTACGCTCCGCAGAGGTAATAAATTCCAGTTATATCCCCCCTTCCTCCAGTGAGTTAATATAGCCAGTGACACAACGTCTGATTAAAAAAAAAAAGTGGCAATACCAACAATCTTTCACCATCTTATCATAAAGCATTTTTGTCTTTCACGTGTGATGTAAAGGATGAAAAAAGTTGCAGTAACTAATCGTTATGTTGAATATAATGTTTTGATGTTGAAACGTTAAAATTGATAACCTAAATGGTTTTTGAATTAGCCCATGGAATCTCGACAGTTTAAATGTCAAAGTCTAAAGTTTTCTTCATATTTTTTTTTTTTTTGTATGTGTGGATTTTTCTTTCTGTCCATGTATCTTTTATGGCCATCCACCAAGTGACTTTAGCGGCAAGTACATAGGCTTATAACGCTAAAAAACGGGTTTCGATACTCGTGATAGTCACAGCAAAGTTAGCCCATTGTGTAGCTTTGCGCACAACAACAAACACATAAATTTAAGATCAGTATTCATTATTATTGTTGTAACATTTTTATTAATGGCAAATTGTGTGTTACTGAATTCTACTATTGTTATTATATTTACCCATCATTTAAGAACATAAGAAATGTATCAAAATTTTTATACCTAAACCCAACAAATTTCTAGTTATGGAAAGTATGGCTTTACATTTATTGCCGTCCTGACCGCAGATATTAAGTCCTTCTTAACTTAGTTGAGTACATTTCTGTAAACTAATTACGCCTATTAGTAGTCAAATAAATATTTCCGGTTTATACAATTTTCCTTCTCTTTTTAATATAAAAATGTGCTAAGTTGTCTATGAAGTTACTTTTAAGAGTCTTAAAAATACATACATGTGTCAAATCATATTCACGTAATCATATAAAATCATATAAAATGGGCCTTCAAAGTAGGCCCATTTTATTAATCTGAATCTGTCCCAATGGCCAAAATAAAATGACCTGTCTTCATTCGAATTCTGACTTACAAGTGGAATATCTACATGATTCTGGATCTTTGTTGATTCCTGTCGTCGTCTGGTATATCCGTATTTTATTTCGCTCTTTCAGTTTTCAATCGAATACAAAGGCCAGCCAGTAAGTTCAGACTTACTGTTTACACTCACATTGTGTGTATTGAATAAAAATCTTCTTTTATTGGCAAAACTTTGCTCGTTGGTATTCATTTTACTGTCCGTGTTGGAAATTATTTTTAAATAAAATTTCCGCAATCTGTGGATACTAACTTGTATGATGGATATCAATATACCTGAATACCGCCAAGGTAAATCGTGCTTAGTTTTTGTTTCCTTTTTACATTAGACATTTAAAAAAAGAAGTAAAAATATTATCTTAACTAACTTTTGACTAAAGAGACAATTTCCAAAATTCAACAAATATAATATTCTAATCTTCATTTTGTCATATATATATATATATAAATTATTAATTCAATAAACTACATTTCCCGTGGATTAACGGAAGGGTTTCGAATCTGACTAACAACTGCATTTTAAATTGTTACTTCTACCAACCTAATTTATAAGACTGTCTGATATAATGAATCTCCAAGTACGTTGCATATGGGTATACTCGTCTCGTTTTTTTAGCTAATCCACTACTCTACGTGATAATACTTTAACTAGACAGTTAAAAAAGAAACGCTGGCTCCCAAGACTATTTTCTCTCATGTTCTATTCTTTCCAACTTGGAAAAAATACGTGTTTCGTGTTTCAATATAAAAAAAACCAAAAAAAACCGCTCATCCATTGTTTTTCAACTGATCTGAATATCAATTTACAAGAAAATAAAACCCAGTGGCACAGCGATATGTCTTCGGACTTATATTGCTCCAAACTGGGTTTCGATACCCGTGGTGGGAAGAGTACAGAATGCCCATTGTGTAGCTTTGTGCTTAACTAAAAACAAACAAACAAATATATAACGGCCGCTGTCACAATATATTCTGTTATATGTCGAAATTCAGCCTTTAATCTAACCGGCTTTGAAAAACCTACTATAAATATTTTAACTGGAAAATAAAGTAAGGAATATATGCGGATATTATCTATGCCACTTTTTATATAAGCGTATGTATTAATAATGGCTGGAGACGGCTTAAATGGGTAATGAAGAAAAACTTTAATATAAGTTTAACATAACAGCAAATGTACAACGTTTCGACAAGGTTTTGTCATCATCAGGTACCTGATGATGACAAAAC